GTCAGTGGGTTAGTCTGCTTATACCTCTCAGCTGGTCAGCCAGTCTCATTTGTAGTGTCACAAAGGATTCCTATAATCAGGGTCAGCATTCTTACTAAAAATAATACTTTACTTGTATAGTCCTTTACAATTTATTAAAGACCCTTTCACATGTGTTATATTTTGGGGGGCCCCCAAACAACCTTCATTTTTCAGGTAAGGAGCCTGAGGGTAGGAGAGGCGGACTTGCCCATGCTCATACATTCTGTTAGTGATGGAGCTGGACCCCAACTTGATGTTTCCCATTTCCCTAGTCTTCTACTCTTTCCTTCTGCCTCCTTGTCCCCAGTCTATACCTTCCAAGCACATCTGCCCTGTGAAAGACACTAGCCCTTCCAAACCTTTGACCTATTGATTATACTGAAACTTGAGCAGAGTCCTGATTTGTTTCCCAGCTCCCATTAATACACATCTTTTTCATCTGGTTTTAAACTCCTAAATCAGAGGGTTCTTCTCTGGAAATTAAAGTTTCAGTAACTCATTTTTTTGTTCACATATGGGTAAATTGTCCCCATAATTCTGCAAGTAGGGTTCTGTGATAAAATCAGTTTCCTTTTTGTTTCTGTCAACTGTCTCAGTTTGCCTTTATCTACTCAAAAATAACATCTCTGAAGTGAGTATAAATACTACCAGTCTTTACTGAGCTTTTACAGTGTACCCAGCTCTATTAAGCACTCTACGTGTGGGTAGATCCTGTTCTGCAGATAAAGAAAGTGAGACCTAGGGAAGTTGGATAACTTGCCCAAGTTCCAACTCCTCCGGAAGTAGTGAAGCCAGGATTCAAGCCCAAGTCTCCCTGACCCCAGAGCTTGTGCCCAAGACCACTGTGCTCAACTCGGGCATGGCTGAGGGATGAGCCCGGGGCTGGGGAGTCAGGGAGGCACATCACATGATTGGTCAAGCACCTCCGGAAGTAGTGAAGCCAGGATTCAAGCCCAAGTCTCCCTGACCCCAGAGCTTGTGCCCCCGACCACTGTGCTCAACTCGGGCATGGCTGAGGGATGAGCCCGGGGCTGGGGAGTCAGGGAGGCACATCACATGATTGGTCAAGCGGTAGCTTCCTCTGTCTTGGTGGCACTTTTTCATGCCTGTTGGCATCAGAAGGCTGGGAAGAGAGCAGACAAGGAGGACAAGATCCACATGAACTTCCCAAAGACAGAGCCAAAAGGAAGGTGGGTGTTTGGGTTTGGAGAAACCCCATTCTCGGGGATAAAAACTCAAAAGTGGGGGAGGGTAGGATACTTAACAGACATGGAAAAGAAACAAACACTGAGGCCTCCAGAGGGGGTGGGAGGGCGCTAAATATCAAGAACCAGGACTGTATAGATTTTGTTAGCTGTGCCATTTCTTCGTGTTTGATAATGGTCTTTTAAAAACCTTTAACAGGAGAGTGCTCATGTTTGTCTTTGGGGGGAACAAGGAGGTACAACTGATGAGATTTGCATCCAACTCTATAAGCATGCTTAAAGGAAGAAAGAACTCCAAGGAATTGAGTGGATAGTGCTAGCTATCAAAGAAGAGACTATAGGCATTAGAAAACACTTTGAGATAGAAAGTACTCAGCAGCTATTTGTGCTGCTTCTTGGCAAGGCAGACAGAATCTGCAGTTCCTCCCTTGCACAGAGCCAGGGTCGCACCACTCATGCCAGTGGCTTTTGGTTGGCCCTGGGGCCAACGTGTGAGCTGTGCCCACAGAGAGGAATTGGGCCGAGTGGGTATGATGGGCTGGCCAATCCCACAGCCAAATGCTGGTGTAGGTTTTCTTTCATCTTCCTTTCTCTGCTGGCTTTTAGCTTTCGGTAGCAAAATAGTTGACTTCTGGCTGTTCCTTTGACATTTTTGCTCAGAGAACTTTCAAAAGATTTCTCACTTGCCTTCATCTTTGGTAGTTAGGAAGCTCCCTCCTGCTCTAATTTTTCTCCAGAGTGTCTTGCATTACTAGCAGTGTAATGCAGTGAAGTGAATTAGCTCTGCTCCCCTCCCATCCTAGGCCTGGGCCTCACCTTGATCGTTAGAGGAGGCCATTTGAATATAGAGGCCTGAAACCCTTTACCCAACACTCAAGCAGTACGTTTTACTTTCATTATTCAAATAGATATTGGAATGGCACACTTAGCATTAGAGCTGTTTCCTATTAAGAATTTTTATAACCTTAGTCTTGCCAGGGGTGAGTTCATCAGGAGATAAGCCCAGTAGTTGCCAAGAAGCTTTAACTCAAAAAACCAACCTACTACACAAAACATATGTTCGAGTCCCAGGAGGCTCTTAAAGACTGAAGAGAGAGTGCTACCAGGAGGATCCTATCAACTTAGGTGTGGCCCTGATATTCTTTTCGACTATTTTTTTTTTCCTTTTTGTCTTTTTTGGTGACCGGCAACGGATCGCAACCCTCAGTGTCGCGCCCGTAC